CCTGCCAACAAGGTACATGCCCTTGACCGGAATTGAACCTGGGATCCTTGAGTCCACAGGCTGATGCTCTATCCACTGAGTGAAACCGGTTAGGGCTCAGCAGTGGCTGTTGCTAAGGAGCAAGGAATGGAGGGCCTTGGGCTGAGCTGAAGTTGAGTAGTTATGAGGGGCTGTCTTTAAAAGTTACAGTTTGTTTGCTTTCCAGGAGACAGTATTCCAGATGCGCTATGTAAGTGTCTTATCAGTATTTTCCCCAAGCCTATAAAATATGATGAGATCAACAGCTACGAAGAGGTCAAAAGAGGCTTGTTTGAAGGGAAGGAAACTTTCTACTAACTAGAGACGCCTTGGTCCAAAATTTCCCAGAGGGGTGACAACAGCAGGAAGGAGGGGCATGTAAGACTGAAGCATTGAGAGCAGCTTATCTTGTTCAGCAGTTTGAACAGAGGAGCTGTTTGATTAGAGGAGCCAACAATCTTGGGGTTTAATTAGCAGCTGCTTCTGCTAAACTGTGGAAGGCCTCAGCGAAGGAACAGACCTTTCTCTTGTCCTTACAAATACCTCCACCACATTTAGAACCTAAGGCTTTCTTGCCTCAAGAGTGACTCCTTCTAGGAGACCAATTAAAGAGACACCAACAATACTGGGGGCATTTGTTCAAGAGGCCATAACAATAGGTCCCGGAGTGAATAAACCATTCATTGAATTTCCTCCTCAATCACAGGCTCTAACTCCCCAGTATGGACAAATATGATGGCACACAGTAAATCTAGCAAGCTCAGGGAGCCTGGCATGGCATGGGCAATCTTGAAAACTCAGAGGCTAAAAGTAACCATATAGGATGCTTTGAAGTTAAAACTTTCCAAGTAAAAGCTAGTCACCTGGGTATGTATGTACTAGCCTCTTTTTTGTTTGTTTTTGCAAAGGACAAATTTTACCTTACTGAACCTGTCGTCCTTTTGCATCTCGGATAACGTACCTTTGGATTTTTACGGACATTTCTGGTTCACAGACTCCTAAGAGAACAATCTCCTAACGCAAAAGATCACAGAGCCCCAATTATTATTGCTCTCAGGTTAAATATTAACTGTTAACTAATCGATAAACATGTAAAAATAAGTGTGTGTCTATTTTTTTTCATTGTTTACCCAATACCAGGGATTTCTCTCCTTAGCTCTCCCCTCTAATTTATCACCAGTGAATGTCATGTAATCCCCTTACATCTTCTCCTTTGAGGCTAATGTATAAAAAAGGTGCGAAACTGCCATTCTCCTGAGCATTACTCAACCTGTTGTTATTTTCCTTCCTGGCAAATGTCATGACTAGGGTCAAATAAACTAAGAAAAATTCTCAACAGGTTTGGATATTTCTTGCAACACCACCAAAAACAATGGACTCATGGGAAACAGGACAAGGTTCCATGGAGGGGTATCAGCATTTCCAGGGACTCAAGTGACGGAAGACAGATTTATAAACACAAATGTAGAGCTGACCCAGAACCCAGCAAGCTAGAGCTTTCCCCTTGCTTTCAGAGAACAGAAGAAAATGCTCAAGGCTTAGGTGACTTTGTTTTCATTCTGTGTGTGCATGTTTTTAATCCTTACCTGAGGATGTTTCTTTTTACCCTCCCCAACTTTTCTTCTGAGATTCTGCAGTAATTTCCATGCTTCCATGTCTCTGACTCCACTCCATCAGTTTTTTGTTCATTAGATTCCAAATTTGAGTGCGATCAAGTGACACTGTCTTCTCTGATTTCACGTAGCTTGATGCTCTCCAGGTCCCTTCATACTGTGTGAAAGGGTACGAGATTCTCCTTTTTTAATGCTGCATAGTATTCCATCGTGTAAATATACCACAGTTTTTTATCCACTCATCTACTGATGGGTATCTAGGCAGTTTCCAGACCTTTCCTATTGTAAATGGCTATGAACAGAGTGGTGCATACTTTCTATCTGATTGTTTCAGGTGTCTTAGGATATATTCCTAGAGGTAGAATCACCGGATCACATGGCAGTTCCATACTAAATTTTTTGCAAAAACTCCAAACTGATTTCCATAATGGCTGTAGCAGTTTGCATTCCAGCAGTGAAAGGGGTTCCCTCTTTCCCACATCCTCCCCAGCACTTAAAAAAGACCGTATCCTTTTAGGTAATGATGTTTACTTTGAATTTGTATTAGTTCACACAAACACTCCATCCATGCTTTTGTTCCGGCCCTCCAGTCCAGCTTAAGAACCCATTGTGGCCCTCGAGTCAAAAAGTTTGCCCACCCCTGCTCTAGCCACTGAGCTAAACTGGTCAGGGCATGCTTTGTTTATTTACTGATGACAGCCATTTTAGCAGTGGTGAGGTGATATCTAATTGTTGCTTTACTTTGCATCTCTCTAATGATCAGTCACTTTGAGTATTTTTTTCATATGTCTCTTGGCCATCTTATCCACACTGCAGCCCAGGCAGAGCTGACACTTTGGATGGCATCAGAAGCAGATGCTCTTAAGTATGAGTGTCTGTTTTGTGACATAAACTTCGTATAATGGATTCAATGGAGGCAGGTTAAGGCAGTTAGAGCCTTGAACAACCTCCTCCAGCTACATATGGCTTGAAGGAGACACATGCCAAAAGTCATGAATGAACAAAGAATGCCTGCCCTTCAGAAAGAGCAAGTCCTGTAAGAAAGATATGCAAAACCAGCCCCTCAGGTGCATTAGAAAGAAACTTGCGCCCTGACCGGTTTTGCTCAGTGGATAGAGCCTGGGCCTGTGGACTGAAGGGTCCCGGGTTCGATTCCGGTCAGGGGCATGTGCCTTGGTTGCAGGCACATCCCCCGGTGGGGAGTGTGCAGGAGGCAGCTGATTGATGTTTCTCTCTCATCGATGTCTGTAACTCTCTCTCCCTTTCCCTTCCTCTCTGTAAAAAGTCAATAAAATATATTAAAAAAAAAAAAAGAAACTTGCCCCAGGGATCACCTCCACTGAAGGAGCTAGACTACCGGTAGTACACTGGGTGTATTTTGGGCTGTTTGCCCCTGAATCCAGTCATTCAGTCAACTGAGAAATACAGGATCCTGGCTTTGGAGCGTAGAAACTACATTACCCAGAAGGCCACGCATGGAATGCCACCAGGCAGAGCCAATGGGAACTCAGACAAGGTATTTCCGTTTTGCCGCTTCTGTAGGGCGGGACTAGTAGTTCTCCTGGCTGGTTTTAAGTTTTTGTCTCAGTCGCTCAGGATTTTCGGGTCGCACGGCTGGAGAGTGCTGCCTCCCGTCTCACAGCCAATGGTCGGAGCCTCCAGCGGTGCTCTCAGCTCCCACCTGGGATTGAAGCTCGGAGTCGCCACCCGAACCCACGCCAGGGCCGGGACAGGGACCGCCATTCCTGCAGCGGCTTCCACTCGCGCCCGGCTCAGCCCACAGAGGGCAATGGCGGCGCCCCCGCTGAGGAGACGGGCTGAGGTGAGTTCTTGTCTCCCGAGGCCTCCCCCGCCTCCTTACGCTGAAGTGGACAAGCCCGGGTGTGGCCCATTGTCACGTCCTGCAGCTCAGTCCCGCGTGGAGGACCGTGAGGAAGGTGGAGGGGGGAGAGGAGTGTTGTGGCTTCTGAGGACACAGCAAGTGCAGGGCAGAGAGGACGGGGGTGACTCGCATCTGAAGGTCCCTGAGGATGTGGCTGTGAGTATTGACGGAAAGAGCAGAGGCTGCAGGGAGGAAGACACAGACTCATTCGGGACTTTCCCGGCTGTGGGTCCATCCGGGGCCTGGGGTGG